CCACTGGAGGCAACAACCTCATATAATCCAGATAAATGCACCAAGATCTAATTTAAAAGTTAAATTTTCTGCTCAAGCTATTTCAGCCGTGAGTCTGTTCCAAACATCACTCTGCTGAATTTCGGAATGCAATTACTCACAGAGCATTTGTAAAAAGTTATTCTTGTAGCAATATTATCCTTGAGATTAAGCCACTCTATTCACTCTGTAGTTCTTCTTTCTTGTGTTAACACAGTGCAGTCAGTTCCTCTCCCTTCCCTCTATTTACTTGGCCATGCAAGTAATATTGCTGTCATCTCCTCTTACCAGACAGGACCTCGGCCATGCCTGCAGCCCTCCCCATGTCCACTCCTGTTCCAAAGAGTCTCCTCCAGCAAGACGCCCAACTCGGTCTTTGTCCTTCCTTTCTTCAAAACCATCACTGCTTAGATAGTGTGCTTAATAACCTCTTAGATATTTGCTCAAGTTACAAGGAACAGATACGTGACAGAACTCAGGAGAAAATAGTTATGAAACTGTGACAGAAGACAAGTATTTGTAACTAGTATTCTTTACAACCAACTCTGACAGAAACAAGCAACCAAGCACAGAGCAACATACTACTCAGTAAAAAGTTGGACATTTTTAGATACATTTATAAATGTGTTTTTCCACACACTAGCGCAAGCAGTTGCACAGAACGGTGATCACTGGCAACAAGCTCCTACTGATCACAGCTTTCCTGTCTATTGGCTTTAAACAATTTATGAATTTTACAAACGTAGAATTATACCATCGATTGGCATAGTACAGAATGGCTTAAGTATAATGCAAATGACCTCAGGCTTCTGAGGAAAGCAAGAGTTTGCTTTCCAGTTAGAGCTGACATCAGTAAGACGCCATGAATGCATAGCGGTCTCCAAAATACAGTGGCTGTGGATCTGGAATACTGGCCTCACTTCAAATGCAACAACGATTTCTCCAATAGAAGAAAAGTGAGAAAAAAAAAAAAAGGGAATTATTTGATCAGAAGCTTTTACATCATTAGTGAACAGTAGTCACGACTTCAATCAGAGAGAAGCTGACAACTAGAAAACAGCCTGCAAAAGTCTCGGACCTACTTTTGAATGTGAACACAGAAAGTGACAGAAATTTGAGCAAGAAGTTTGCTGGGGAGGGGAGAGGGGAAAGCTAAAGACCTCAGGAGGAGGATACCACGTTTGCTGCCTCACAGCTTCAGCAGAAGGGAACTCCTCACATGTACCCTCTGCAGCAATGTCCCCTGGCAAGGACGGCTGTTCCTGGTGCAAACCTCCCACTGACTTCAGTGGGAACCACATCAGGCTAGGGAAGAAAATCCCGGCTTGACTGAAACCAACAGGAATTTTGATAAAGCCTTCAAAGAAGGGTAAGACTGCACTAGGGAATCATATTTCAAACAGCCTGCGGTCTCCCCTCAGTGCTAAATTTTGTTAATATAGTAAAAGGAAAATATACCCACATACCCAACTGGAAAATTCAAGCTGGCTCTAATAATTTTGCTGGAAATATGCTAATTCACACCAGCCAAAACTTGGTTCATTTTACATGCTGATGTTAACCATCTTGAAAAGAACTAATTCTGCAGATAAAGCGTATTTCTTCTTACATAAATCAATGGCTATCTTTAATGGTGTCGTATTAATTAACTGCATACTAAAGCAGATTGTGGAAGCAGAAATGCAACCTCTGTAACTTAGTAGTGACAACAATTGGGAGGGAGAGAAGGGGAGAAGAGAAATAAAAAGAGCAAGAGTGAGCTGAAACCAAGAAGTAAGTATTTCCTATTCAAAATATCCCAAAGACCTAACAGGTAAATAAGAATTTGCATGACACCTCACCTTTAAAAGTGTATGCATGAAAAAACAACCCACCAAAACCAAACCAAAAAAACCCTACTCTGAAAGGGCTGACATATATTCTAAGCAGTCGAATCAGCCTCTTGAATTTAACACACTCATTTGTAACAGACTAACTTTCAAAGCAAGAGAAGGGACCTCTGTAGAAGCCACACAATGAAGGACAGAGAAAACCATTTTAAGTTTTTTTCCTAAAATCTGTTGCTTTGGTGAGGGCATGGGGGAGTAATCTGCCCTTCAATAAAGGGTAAATTGAATCAAGCCATTTGCCTTCAGGAGAGCTGAACAGGATGAGTGAGCCCAAGGATAAAGGGACAGAATAGGACAGCCGGTCAGACAAAAATAAAAGTGTCAGGGAGGATGGTATCGTGCATTTACAAAGGAGTCGAATTTGGATGGACACAGGAGGACAAGTTCTCCTCACTTTTCAAATGTTTGCTACTTTTGCTGGCTGTCAGAAGGGATTCTTGGTTCAGGTTTCATTGCTAGAGGATTTCTGCAGACGTTTCCTCCACACCGCCTTGAAGATTCACCTCCAGATGAAAAGCATTTCCAAGTGCCAGCCTGAATAAACCTCGACTTCATTTATTCAGAGTAATGACGACATCCAGTGGCCACCAAGTTAATCTCAGCCTACAACAGTAAGATAACCTCTTACACAGAACAGATAATGTCTTTTCACAAAGGTATATATTAACTCTGCTCTTCCACCTCCTAGTCTAAAAGTAGGAATACATTACAGGGAACACTATAATCATTGAGCAAGTGTCTTCCTATTCAGGTCTTTGTACAAACTCTAATGAAGCATATTTCAGTTCTACCTCACATTGAAAAATTACAAATGAAAACCACAAAAACTCTTAAGCACTTCCACGGTACTCAAAGAAACTGGAAACCACCAAAAATGCTTGATCTTCTCTTTGTCTGATTTGAAATGTCCTCATTACATACTTTAGTTTTACCTCTGGTTTTTGTTTGTTTTGGTTTTTTTTCCATAAATGAGATAGTGAAAAATTAATGCATCTAGGATAGCCAAAGCATTTGAAGTTTTTGCCTAATTATGCATTTTTCTCCATGTAGCTCAGTGCATAAACACTACTTTCAGTGAGAAAAGCTGCAAAATCAGGAGGTCACTAAGACTTCAGACACTTACAGTAAAGTACAGATTAGTCACAGCTGCTATGAAATTTTCATTCCCTCACTCAGCTGCAGTCAAAGTATGCTGTATGACACTGGAGGCAGTGGCACCTATTACACAGTCACAAATTTTAACACTTGACCAAAAATCACTTCTGCTTAACTTGACAATGAACTTCCACCTGTATGTCAAGGTTAACCATTGCAGGGTGATCTGACTTCTGAGAAAAAGCCCTTGAATTCCCCATTATAATCACTGGAGACAGTTGCATGTCTCAGGAGCGACTGAAAAAGAGACCCTATCTGTCTGGTTTAGGTGTATACTCCTCTTTGCTGACTGCCTAGGGAACATAAGTGCTTCCATAGGAATACAGCCCAATTACATCAGATAAGCTGTTATGGACTATATAGGGAACCAGTAGGAACTAAAAGCATCCATTTCACTCAGAGGTAGTCCATATAGCCCTTTCTGGATGATAACGGAGGAGGGATGACTCTTTTGAAAAACAAAGTGGCAGCAGCAACAGCAATATTCCCACCTTTTGCAGGAAAGCTTCATTACCTAGCTTGTCAACAGAGGAGGAGAGCTGAGTTTTGTGTTCTCAACACAGACGTCACAGGGGTGTTCTAATCATTAGGATCCTTGGCACAGGCCTAATCAGATGAGATACTTGGGGAGCACTGGAGTATCTCATCTCCCTTCTTAATGAATATGGGCCACGGTGTAGACAGGAACACAGAAATCACAGAATGGGAAGGAGAGTGGGTGAGAAGAGCCTGAATCCTACCTGAGCATGGACAGGACTGAGGCTGTAGTCTGCATTCCCTGGAGCAACATCAGGACAGAAACAGTTGTGGACACTGAAATAGAGCTTTCACTGTTCCCCTCTCAGAGCTGAATGCCCAGATTTCTAGTATGGAGCCAGGATCCTCCTTTTCTGACCAACCTTTTAGTCCCGTGGTTCTTGCATTCCTAGTTGCAGAGTAGCCTTGCTTCCATGGATGCTCATGCAGAAGACCCTGAGTACTTATAGCCAGGTTATTCCTGGGATGGTGGAAATGCTGAATCCACCCTTCTGTCTGGGAAGGTCCTATAACCAAAATCCTTCCTTCCCTGGGAAAATTACCTGACTGTAAGGCTACAATACAGCAGCTTGCCAGTGCCACCACCATCAAAACTCTGCCAGCCTTTTGGGGCTTTTCTGCAAGACATAGGCAAAGGTCAGGACATCGCCCTGCCTGTAGGTGGAAGATGGGCACCTCCCAGAAGCAGCATGTGTGAACACGTGCCTTGTGGTAGGTACCCAAAGAAGCTCCATCTAACAGTGAAGGACCTCATGAGTCTGGGGACACGCTGGGCAGGAATGTTCATGGGACACTGTGTGGGAATGAAGTCATGGACCTACGCAGGCTTTTGGGTGCCCACCTGCCAAACCAGGGTTTCGGCATGCCGGTTTCCGTACTGCTCCATGTAGTTCACTTTCCAAACTATATATTCTCCTTTCAAATGAGCAAGCTTTCAGTGCTTTTTAATGTAGTAGAATCAAAGATGTTATTCCATTATCTAGAGTATTTATTTTCCCTGTTTACCTGTTTCTTCCCTTTTGCCTATCAAAGGGTGGCTGTGTCTGTACTTAGTTCTTACATCTCAGCCACAATTTCTGCCCCATTAAGGAGATTCTTGTCATTTTCTGACTCTATGATTCCAAAAATAAAGGTACATCAAGAAAGAGGGAAGGGGACACGACCTGCACATGCACACACACAAGCTGCTCAAGCTGTTAAAACTGCTTGCTACATCTTCCAAACTCAGTCATACGTACAAACTTTTCAAAGACATGGACAAAATCCCTTTTCAAAGTGGCTTCAAAACAAAAAACAATGTTTCTGCGTTCCACTTTTGTAAGGAACTCGTTCAAAATATGAAAATATAACACTTTAAGCATGTGTGTGTTCTTTCACAGAAAACATCCGCTAAATACTTACTTGCCCAAATATTTCTGGCAGCCCCAAAACTTGACCAGTGAAAACACCCATACAGATGAAAATTGCTGTGATCTGACCCAGTGAACCACGGATTTCCTTAGGAGATATTTCACTCAAATACATGGGAAGGGCACTCAGAGAAATGCCTACAAAGGAAGGAAAAAACCACACAACTAAGTCAAATCGCCTTTTCATTATACCAGGTATAAAACAAATGTCTACTGAAAGGAGTCTGAGTGCTAATCTGCGTGCAAAAGTGGCAAAAAAACACGCAAAGAACAGAAATATATCTATCCACAGATCATATGAATTATCTTCTCTGCATGTTCAATTACTCTTGCACCATTTAATAACTGTGGGATTGATTATCTGTTACAAATCTGCAGTGATCTGCGTAGGCTGCTATTTGATGAGAAGAACCAAAAGTTACTCAGAGAGGAGAATCATCAGGCGAACGGATTTTTTTTTAAATTTGTTCATCCCAAAGCAAGCAAAATCATTTTAGCACTGGTGCAGATAAGTGTTACTGGTTTGCGTGGCAAGGTTTTGGTAGCGGTGGGGCTATACGGGTGGCTTTTGTGAGAAGCTGCAAGCTCCCCCATGTGTGATAAAGCCAGTGCCAGCCGGCTCTAAGACGGATCCACCGCTGGTCAACGCTAAGCCAATCAGCGACAGTGGTAGTGCCTCTGTGATAACATATTTAAGAAGGGGAAAAAACTGTGGTAAAAGGGCAGTCAAGAGAGAGGAGTGAGACAAAGTGAGAGAAACAACTCTGCAGACACCAAGATCAGTGAAGAAGGAGGGGGAGGAGGTGCTCCAGACACCAGAGCAGAGTCTTCCCTTGCAGTTCATGATGAAGACTATGGTGAGGCAAGCTGTCCCCGGAGAGAGGAGCCCATGCCGGAGGAGGTTTGCTGGCAGGATGTGTGACCCCGTGGGGGACCCACGCTGGAGCAGCCTGTTCCTGAAGGACTGCACCCCGTGGAAGGGACCCACGCTGGAGCAGTTTGTGAAGAGCTGCAGCCCATGGGAAGGACTCAAGTTGGAGAAGTCTGTGGAGAACTGTCTCCCATGAGAGGGGCCTCATGCTGGAGCAGGGGAAGAGTGTGAGGAGTCCTCCCCCTGAGGAGGCAGGAGCAGCAGAGACACTGTGTGATGAACTGACCGTAACCCCCATTCCCCGTCACCCTGCGCCTCTCGCGATGGGGGGAGGAGGTAGAGAAATGGGAGTGAAGTTGAGCCCGGGAAGAAGGGAGGAGTGGGGGGAAGGTGTTTGAAGATCTGGTTTTATTTCTTATTATCCTGCTCTGGTTTGATTTGTGATAAATTAAACTTCCTTTTCTGCCCAAGTTCAGTCTGTTTTGTCCGTGACAGTAATTGGTGAGTGATCTCTCCCTGTCCTTTTCTCAACCCATGAGCCTTTCATCATAGTTCCTCTCCCCTGTCCAGTTGACGAGGGGGAGTGATAGAGTGGTTCTAGTGGGCACCTGGCATTTATCCAGGCCAAACCGAAACAGTAGGGGAAAAAAACCCCATTGTGTCAGAGAGAGCAGACACTGTCAGATGAAATATTTTTACTGTAAATGGTATTAGCAGATGTTCTTCTTAATACAGACTCACAGCTGCAATGAACTTTTAATAGCAGGCATAAAGTAACGGCGAGAATGCTGTTCAAACCCAGGAGAAAAAAAAAGCACGACCCTGGTTAGTACACTGACCATATTTACACAGCTCCAGAAGTTTGGTCATTTGGTGGTAACCTGACACAAAAATTAGCAATCAGCACCAAAATTACTTACGAACTTCACGTCGCAAGTGACAGACACATCCACTTTCAAACAACCATAGTTTGTACTTACTAACAACACAGCCAAAGCCTGTCAGAAAGGGGGCTCCGCGATGCAAAAGTCAAAGCACTGTCCATTGCTTAGCGTCACGTAATTACACTGAGAGTGTAAAACCATCTTAATTCATCAAGTCTGTCTCCACATTAGGTGAATACTTCTCACCATCTACCAATCTGCGAAGATGCTGAGAACCTTACTGCTAGCTGCAAGACTGTTCTGGTGCAGCACTACCCCCATGATTTACTTTTAAACCGGGAAGACTATGCTGCTAGGAGCAAATGATGATGTACCAAAACATCCACTTAATCCTACTGGGATTAGCCAAAGGATTTTCATGGCACGAAGACAGATATGCTCTGTTGGGACTGGAGGAGGAAAGGGGGAGAAACAACTAGGCTGGACAATAGCAGCTAGCATCCATTCCAGTGTCTTCTCCAAACACCACATCTTCCAACCACTAGTCTGCTGGTTTCTCCCAGTGAAATCAATGTGGCTAGTCCCTGAAATGCCTCTTTCATGTAAAGAAAGATCTAACTGGGGGACAGGAGAAAAATTATGCATGGCACAAGCATTTTGGATATGTACAGCGTGATAAAAGCTTACCTGCATCAACACCCATTATAATGCGACCCAGTATGAGCATTTCAAATGACCCTGCCAACAAGGAGAGGGACATCAACAATCCAGCTGTCACCGCAAACACATTATTGAGCAGCAATGTAGATTTCCTAAAAGGACAAGATATTTTATGTAGAAACCAGCATCGCAACAATTAAATCTAGTCCTATTCAAATCACACTAGGCTATTCTTCTTAAATATCCATAAATAAAAACAAAAAGTGCCTAACAAACACTGCCAGCTGTATTTCTTACAGTTTTCATCTTTCAGAACTTTCTGCTCAAGTTTGAGGGACTCATTAATTCAAAAGCAACTTGTAAGTCTCGTAACTTCTGCAGAAGGAAATACTTTACAAAAGAAATGATATGTAGGATTTCACAGGCCTTTCACAGTCAAACACTGACATCCACAGCCTCATTTCCCAAACACATGGAAGAAGAGTGGTTAAAGATATGAGATCAATAGCTCTGTTGCAATGATTCTCTATTGAAAGATGAAGTAGAAAACCCACCTAGATCTCAGAGAATTACTGCTACCTTACACACATCTCTCCAAAAATAAGGATTTAAGTGGCTTTTTGTTAAATTACAGCCTGCAGGTGAATGGCTGGAGCAGCCACTATCATCAGGTTCAGCCTCGAGAGTTACTGAAAAGTATCTTACACTTCCCAGGCAGAGTCCCAGGGATATCTGCTGGACATGTGGTGGCCTCTCTCCAGCACATCACAACGAGATAGCTGCTTTGCATTGCTTATGATCTAACACAAGACAAAACACCACAATTTTCACAATGGCATGGCAAGAGAATTATCAGACCCCACGTTTTCCATCTGTGAGCCACCTCACTTCGCTACTGATGGTAAAGCAATGGTGCTTTGTCTTTACCAGGTCTTGCAGTCACATAATTAAGCAGAGTCTTGTTTTGGCTCTAGAGGTATAACTCAATACTGATGCCTCCAGTCCCACTCACAACATATTCAAACAATTGATCTGAAAACAAATTTACCTAGAGACAAGCATCACACTGATGATGTAAATTATGAGGAATCCATTAACTTTGACAGTAAATGACACAGGCTGAGAATACACCAATTTTATTAAAAAACTGAAGTGGTACTAAACTTGTAAGTATTCTCAATGGATTTTCAATTGCTATATATTAGAATTTCCATGCAAAAGAGGAGGAATGGCCACAAAGGCTGTCTACCCTTTTCATTTCCAAAGCAGGTAACAAATCGACCCAGCAGTCCTCATTCTTCTCAAGTTCAACACACAGGTACCAACTGGAAAACTCCCACCCATTGAACAAGTCATTCAACTTCTTACAACAGATCAATACATTTTTTGAAAGGAAATATTTTTAATGCTTGTATTTTTAATTACTTTTCCTGCTTTGTAGTGATTTTAAAACACTGAATTAATAGCATGAAGATCAAAAAATACAATACAGCTCATTTAAAGTATATGTTTATACAACATAGCTGTCAAGAGTGATGATTTTACCATTTGAAACAGATTTTTCAAATGGATGTAATTTGAGAGGGCTGAACTGACATAAGTAATATAAAAAAATGGAAACAAAATGTTGATTCAGGTCAAACAAGTGCTATACATTCATCTGAATATACTACTTTCCTCTTCTTTCATTTAAATAAAACCTACAAAATACATACCTTTTTAGAAAAAGTTGGCCAGAGATCCCTAATGCTGTGCACCAAAGAACACAAAAGCACAGCCTAACTAACCAAGATAAAAGCACAGGATTTTGTCTTTGCCAGATTGAAAAAAAAATGAAAACTAGAAAGTAACACACTGTTCAGAATGTTACTATGTAAAGTACGTAAATTTTTGGTAATGAAAACTGTGCAGTGTGTCTGTGGCAAGGCTTTGGAAGCGAAGGGGTTGCAGGGGTGGCTTCTGTGGGGGAGTAACAAGGTCGGTGGGGAGAGCAGATGCTCTAGGACTGAGCAGGCACATCCCCAGAGGGACTGTGGCCCATGGAGGACCCACGCTGGAGCACAGGAGAAGAGTGAGAAGCAAGGAGCGGCAGAGAGGAGTTGCAGCGCACCAACCCCAACTCCCTGCACTGCCCGTTCTCTCATGGAAGAGACTGAGTGTGACCTGCTGTGGTACCAAGGAGGAGGAGAGGAGCCTGGGGTGATGTTCAGCCTGGGAAAGTGGGAGAAGAGGTGTCCTAACATTTGTCCTGTTTCCCAATACCTGATCAGTAATGAAATATTTATGCTAACTGGCAATAAACTAAGTTAAATTCCCCAACTTAAGTCTGTTTTGCCCATGACAGCAATTGGTAAGTTTTCCCTTTCTTTAGTTCGACCCATGAGTTTTCTCGCTCCTGTTCCTCCTGTTTCTCCCCAGTCCCACCATCTCACTTGGGGGTGGGCAGTGACAAGCAGCTGGGTGGGTGCTTGGCTGCCAGCTGGGGCCAACTCACCACAAGCATGAACCATCAGGGCTCCTAAGAAAAAAAGAAAGCAAAAACCCTCCAAACTGCCCACACTGTCTCAGTTTAGTTCCAAACAAGTCACGTTATATTCAGATTTGCTATGATCATAAAAAGAGCCATACCTTCCTGCTCACTTAGGGCAAAACTGCATTACCCTAGCAACAAGGCACAGGAAAAAGAAACAAATCAAAAAACCCAGACAAATCGCTGCTTGTGTAGCTCTGATATAAGTGATACAAAGATATCACACCTTGCAAAGTGCTGCAGCAGGCACTTTCCAGAGGGAAAGTCCAACCAATCTTGTCAGATAACTGTGCTCACCACACTTAGCAAGCGTAAGCATGCAAACTGCAAAATGAAAAGACACACGCTGATGTGTTGGTCAGCCTAATCATTTCTTTCACATACCATACCACAAACCGATCAAGCAATTGTCCAAATGGTACCTGAAACCTACTGAAGTATATACCTCATACCTAGTACACACATAGCACATTTCATTTTTCAGTCTTGCTGAAGGTTATAGAGCACACCAATATCTCTATTTCTGTAACCTGGTGAACAGAGGAATAGACTGAGAAGTGAACTCAACCTAAAGCTAACATGCAAAACAGTGCCAGAGGTGGGAAAAGGAACCTGGACTAAAGCTCCAGTCCAGACTCCCACATGGTTCTGCTGCAGCTATTGCACTAAAAATACTAGATTAGCATTCATTTAGATATGAAGATTTTTGTTCCTTCCATTCAAACAATTCAGAATTTTCTGTGGCCAAAAGGAATAAAGCATTTATGCATTCCAAAAGGAAGATGCTTTTGAAAATTTCTGATTGAGCACAGAGTATCTGTCACAAGCAGCTACGTCCTAAGCTAAACTATAAGTTTTGCAACCAAGTACCAAAACTGGTTCTCTCTAAGACTGGCTACCCGCATTGCTGCAGGAATGTGACTTCCAATCCTGTACTCAATCTGAAATAGTCCTAAGAGAAGAGCCATTTGCTCAGCAGAAATCAGTTTCTATAGGTGTTCCAGCTGAGACAGACAGTTCACCCACCAGCTCGGCACAAACAGAGCTAACCTTTAAGGATTTTTTTTCTGCCTCCTTCTTTTTTAGGTATTTTGGACATTGAAAGCACTTGAGACTCTATTCCTCAGAACTGTCCTTGTGTTTTTGCAAAATTGCATATGATTAATTTCTTGCAATTTCAGGGTTGCTATCTGCTCTCATGATGTTGGATAGTTCCAGAGGTCAGAACAGAATCTTAGAGACTACTTGCCCTCCATGGCTGCAATAACTGTAATTAGGGATTTGAATGAATAAACTTTTTGTCTAAAACTCACAACTAGGAAAATGATAGAATTAAAATTTCCTTAAAAAATGTATTGGTGTCTCAAAATTCAGTAGTAAGAAAGACGCTCCACATGGAAGCAAATATGACACGCAAAAAGTATGGTGAGGAAACTAGGTGTTTAAGTAACAAGCTGTCAAAGCCAGTAACAGGTTGAATATCAGATCACCATTTCAACTACAGTAGATTACTTCAGAACAAAAGAAGTGGTAATCCAGATAAATTCCCTTACTGGTTCATACTCAAAATGGTCCACTGTGCTTGAGGGAAGGCCTTGTCCTTCTCCTGCAAATGCCTCCCTGGCAGCGGCCGAAGCAACCCACCGAGCATATCGCTTGGGGTGCGCAGGACACGCAACAGCAGCTGCTCTTCCGCAGAAGAAGAGAATTTAAATTATGAAGTGTCAAAGCCACATCTGAACATGGGACTTAAGCTTACGCAGAAGAAGGCTCTCTGAAAAAAAATACATCTCTCTTGAAGTAAGTAGGGCCTAGGAATCTGGCAATTTGGAAATTATGTTATTAGTCTTACAGCAATATGATTCAAGGGTGCTCTTTTTAAGACCATACTTTATATATGACTAATGCTTTTGATCCCCCTTAGTTCATTATTCCATGTCAGTGTAAACGGAGCTCAGCTTCATCATACATACAGCCCTCCAACCTACACTTCTACAATTTAACGGCAAAGTATTTTATTGTTCTGTTAACATTTTGTAATGTGCTCCTCAACTGCCATACCGATATGTCAGTCTGGTTTCCTAGACCAGATGAACACTCTGCAGTGTGAATGGCAAACTCAGGAACCACACTTTGACGAGCAGCCTTTTTCTAACAGCCCCAAGCGATGCAATCCCTTCTCATCTCTAATCAAGTACTTGCACACCATATTTATGAGAGAGCTGTTTTCATCGTTTAAAAGAGATAAACATAATAAACAGGGGCAGAGTCTGCAAGATTTAAATATCTGCCCTTGAAATATGATCTGCTCCCATCAAAGTGGTATTCACATGACTGAGATCAGCCACCACTTTAATGAACCTGCACACAAAGCTGTTCTGCTCTTCACTAAAAATTCAAATCTTCCATGAACCCACTTTTTACTTCATTTTTTAATGAAGTAAACAAGACTTGGCGACAATTCTGGGAATTAATCAGTCTAAATGGAGGCATAGTTTCATCTATTTAAGAAGTGTGTAAAAGCCAAATTGATGATTTGGCAGAAGAAATTGCAAACCTAAAAAAAATAATGTGACTATGAAATATATTTAAGAATTGAAAATCAAATGGTGAACTGAAGGGACAGAATAAATTAATTAAGAATGGATAATAGATTTACAGAGCAGAGGATACTGACTTGCTATAGGCATGAAACGGAAGAACCTGAAAACACACTCTCTGAGGTGAAAAATGGCATGTGGAAGAGTTGGGAGAATGACAAACAAGCCTAGGAGAGTGCAATCTAAAATAATGGAAACAGTCAAAATGTACAACAGAAAAGTAAAAACAGTGGAGGTGGATGCTTATATTTCAGCCTCTGCGATGACCTTCTCCAGTGATTTAACTGAGCAAAACTTATTAAATTATATAGCATTTACAATTAAGTAAAAGCCAAATGAGCAGTTAAGATGAATGCTATAGTGGCTTTTTTTCATGCCTTTCTAAATATAGGTAAATTACAAATTACTTTTAAAATTCTCTTTGGAAGACTGTATGAAACAACAATTTGACACAAATGTCTAGTTAGCACCTGCAGCAAAAATGCAAATACACACCAGCACAAACATTGCTAAAATACTCCTATTCACTGTGGTCAAGACTTGGTCAAATACTGCATTGCATAGAGTGGGGAAGGCGTCCCCAAGTTTGCGGCAGACCAAACACGAACTTCACCCTAGATTAGTTCTTCAAACTACATTTTAAGTTGAAACAAGGAAGAAAAAAAAGAGAAACTTTTTATTGCCGTATGACAACAAATGTTGTTGGGCAGCAAATGAGACATGTCGATAGCTTTGTGTACAGTAAGATCCTCAGCAGACTCGTGAAACAAGAATCTGCCAATCCTTTGTGAAATCTTTCCTAGTTTATGATATTTTCCTTCCGCACTCTTGACAACTGAACCTCCTTGACATCTCAATCCATTCCCGTTCAGAGCAAATGGCTTCTATCACCCAAGTGATGCACAGTAGGGCCAGAGAGAAAGGTACTAATTTTACTCTTGGAAATTCGGAACTCTTAGAAATGAGCTTTCATAATTTGAAGATTAAATTTGCATTCTGGTGAAAAGGGTTTTAAAAAAAAATAAAAGTAAAGACTTCTACAGAAACCAAGTGAGAAACTGCTTTAGAAACTAGAATTTTTCTGATACACTTACCGTCCTAAGAACTTCAGAATTGGGGTAGCAATAAAGGCACCCATAAGGCCACCAATGGCAAAAAGAGAAACAGTTATAGACCAAAGGAGAGTCAGTGTGTTTTCATCCATGGAGAAGCCGTATCTTCTTTCCCAAGTTTCATTGTAAAACTTCTTGATATACTGAAAGAAAATACATAATAACGATGCATGTAAAAAATCACACTTTAAGAACACAACTGAGAGAAACAGAATAAAACAAAACCCCAAACAGTAGCTTGCTTGTAGAAATCACCCTTGCTCTTCTACCTCCCTCCTCCAAAATATGGGGCCTCATGCCTAGATGCAATCGCAATGCAGACTAACCGAAGCAGCCGAAGCATACTTATGTTTAACTACACGCAGGTCATAAACAAAGTGGGGAAAAAAAACACAGGTAGATATGAATGTAGAAGAGGCTTATAAAAGAGAAACTCCAATAAAACAAGGATGTTACCATTTAGGTTGTTGGCACAACATTAACAGCAGTTTGTTTTCGCCTTACTGTGTACACTTACACAAACATTTCAGCCTGAACCGGGGCTAAGGGCTCAGACACAGAACCACAGAGCGGTTGAGGCTGGAGGGATCTCAGGAGGCCATCTCGTCCAACCCCCCCTGCTCAAGCAGGGCCATCTACAGCCACTGGCCCAGGACTGCGCCAGGAGGTTTTTGAATATCTCTAAGCAGGGAGACTCCACAGCATCATGCCTCCCGCGCTTGGCACGGCACGGCACACCAGCTGAGCTCCACTCACTGCACACATACAGACTCCCAACCCCAGGCAGGTGACGTACACATCCTAGCATAACACTTCTTGGCCAAGCCAAGCAAAACTGCACTGCCTAGCATTTGTCATGACTTTTACAAAAAGAATGCGCACAAATGCTTAAACGCTAACTACTGTTAGTCAGTCAGTTTGTTGAGTCACTAATCTTTAATCAGAGTCTTACGTTAAGAGCAAATAGTTATACTGCTTTTTAATGGATCTACAGTGCCAATAGCTTGGAAAGAGGAAGGCTCCAGTAACAGGTAAAGGAAAAAATGTCTTGAAGAAATTGGTGTACTGGCAGAAATGCAAAACTAACAAAGAGGAAGGGAATTGCAACCAGTTCCTGCCAGCTGGCAACATGACTGACGTCAAGAGAAGAATTTGGCTTCTCTTACAGGACACAGCACCAAAAGCCATCTGTTGATAGGTTTGGGGTGTGTGGGGGAGTTCACATGTAACTTGGGAAATTCCCTGCAAAATGTTTAAAGCTTCTCTACAAATTACAGAAATAGGAATCCTTTTTGCAAAACCCTACACTGTGCTCACCATGAAACAACATTTATCATATCTATTTTGTATTTCAGTCCTAGAACGCAGATCTCTAATTTGCTTAAGTGCCTTTCACTAGTCTATTATTCCCAAAAGGCCAGTATCACAAAGGTGAGTGACTCTACAAATTCTTTAGCATAACACTAATAAAAAAAGACAGAGTGAATTGAAAACAATTAGCTTACATCGACTGAGGGAGGAATGGAGGCTGTGTCCACTTTTGCACTGTACTTATGACACTGCCACATCTGGAAGCCACACAAAATCAAGGACCAAGCAATGAAAGATAATATTTTTCTCCCAAAGAATTTACAGCCAAGACAAGTAACTGTTGGAGGATGGAGGCAAGAGCTGACAGCTGTTGGTTTGATACTGATGCGGAGGAAAAAAGCCCACAGTATCAGTCAAAATGATCTAGTTGTCTGACACTATTAAAATCACCAATCCTAAATCACTTCTATAAGTATGTTGCAGCTTCTCCCCTTCAATTTTACATAAGCTGCTTTTTGAACATAATTCAGGCGGCTAAACAAGGTAAGCAATTTCTTTTCAGTAATGAAAGATGTATGAAACACGAAATCAGACATCTAAGATCCTGATACAAATCTATCTGCCAGACAAGCTTGTTCTCTTAACAAATGAAAACCTGAGACACATCTTCTCGCTCTTCAGTTATCCCGAGACCTACAATTTTCTCCCATGCAGCTTAATTTCCTTAAGAGCCTTCCACCAGGGCCCTTCCAGGGTATCTTTTGAAAGTCCAAGTGCCTGTTGAATCTCTGGAGAACTCCAAAAGATGTTTGAGTCATGGTTCTCCTTTGCAAAAGCCATGCCAGCTCCTCCCCAAATTCTCACTTTTCTACTACAGTTTCTTCTAGTTCGTCAGGTACAAATAACTAATTCTTAGCATGTATGTTCCAAGTTTTCCCCTTAAAACCTACTTTTTTCTTAGAGTCACATTAACCTTCTCAATCTCTCTGAGGCTATTTAAAAAGAAGCTGAACTGTGATACGAAGCCTATATTTTGAGAGTTATTTTTTCAGTCTTAAGCAAATTTTAAGGTATTTTGGCAATGTGACACAAAATAATCACTAATTTTATACCATACCTCTACTGACATTTCAGCTTCTCCAAGAGATCCCCTATAAAGAAGGTTCCACTGTGGACCTCTCCAGACTTTTCCAATCCAAAACATTAGTTCAGGTTTCTTTCTCTGTCCTTGTATTTTCTGAACACTCCTTTTCAGCTTCATCTGTCGGCCTTATGTCCCCAAGCCTCCATCTGGATGTTTTTTGTGCCTGCTGAAAGTACCCAAGCTCCAGGACCAGCTCACATTTTTAGACTTCAATGTGCCAGAGTTTATATTCTTTTTCTGCCTTCCTCACATAAGCACAACTGCAGGTTTTTGGAGGATGCCTTCTAACAACTTCTCTCCCCTGGTGTTTAATTACACCAAAGTTTCTTCATCTTTCTAAAAGGTAAAGATGTCATAGCTCCAGTATAACATTTTTATGTAGTCTCTGTATCACCTGCAGAGACATCGCCTATTTACTTTCTTTTTAGTTAAGCTTCCTCACTTTTATGCTGCTCCCGTTTTGAAATCACGCTAAGCTCCGATGCCGTCATGGCATCTGATGCTCTGGCAAGGATACAGCACCAGGCAGTCACTACTGCAGAAGGGTACGCCACGCTTGCGTAACGCTCTCACTTGTTCTGTGTCACTGCTCCCCGACAAGCTCTACAGTATCACAAAGCGTAATCTTGGCACTCTTCCCCAGTTTCTTCTCAGATTTTCTCCAGCATGTCATAGCTACTAAATTATCCTGGGGCAGGACTCAGCAGTATAAGCCTAGCACCACATTTTCCCTGTTCAAAGTAGGAATTTCAAACTATAGGTATTCCAACCTTGGATACATGGACTATTCGATCTGAGGAATTTATTTAGTTGGAAACACCACCTCTTCACTTGCAAAGTACCTAAGAAAGGTAGGCAGAACGCACCACTTACTGTCTCCCTTCTATCAAGTTCCTAGTAGGTCTTTTGTGCCCTGAATTAAAAGGAGGACAGGGATACTTCTCTGTACAAACCAACCAGAAAAACCCCCACAAAACAGAAAAAAAAAAACAAAGTCAAATTGGTGTTTGGTCTATTTAGAAGAATCTCACAGTAGACTTCGAAATGAATCTGCCATTAAATCAAGTAGTACATCTTTTCTCTTTAACACCAATACTCAGATTATATTTAGACTCAGATATCTTCTTGTTTATCTGAAGTTCATTTCTGATAGTAATGAATATTAAGAGAAAACATTTTTAGAATACTATTAGCATTTCTTGGTAATGATAATGGCTAAAAACAGTATGCAAATTATTCTCCCCTTGTGTTATGACTAATTTTCTCAGCATAGCTTTGTTATTTACAAGGAGACATCAAATAACCGCAAATACTCAAGAAAAGAAAGTGCAAACTACAACTCTCAACAGTAATAGATAAATGCACTGGCATGTACACCACCTGTGCCTGGACTCCCACTGCCAGTAAATGGGAAGCTAATAACACATACAGAGTTTGATAATTGCACATGCAACAAAACACTTCTGAGCCAACAAATCCACTGGATTTGAATCCACTGAATTCTGTGGAAAGGCTCCTTTGGGATTTTAATCAGTTGTCTGAACAATGCTAACAGCATAATCCTGTATACAAAAATTTTTGCCCCTAACCAAAGCCTACAAGCAATGGTAGCTGACCGATACCAGTATCTGGTATTCTGCCTCCTTCATTCATTAAGGTAGTAGTGCCAGCGTGGGAAATATAAGAGGAATATAAGGGAGATCTATGTATATATTTATATATATAAATATGAGGGAAGTATTTTAAATATAAGGGAAATACTTACTTTGTCTCTTTAACTGTAAATAACTCGCATCACAGGAAGAGATCAGCTGGTCTTTAGAGGCAAAAAATGACCTTACCCATAGTTAGAGGGGTCACTCGCACCCAGTGACGACTACTGAACTGGCCGACACAGCAGGCTATACATTTTTGCAATAGTCCCACTTTCCTGGTATCCGCTCTAAACAGCACGCAGTGAGTAGCAGAGACTTCGCTTCCCGCACACAGCACAAAGCCCATCATTGTTCTGCAGACCTTGTCCACAGCCATCCACGGAATGAATTGTAGAAATTCAGCTCAGAAAAAGACAACTTCAACTCGTATTCAGTTAAAGCATTTGTCTTCCTGCTGCCAAATGCTCCCCCATATTTTTAATGAATTCTGGTAACTCTGTAAACAAACCCATGGAGACTTCTAATTTTGGGTTTCTTGTGTGGTCAAGCGCTGTGTGCAGGGGGAAGCGCACCTGCAACAGGCCACTGCTCCCTCCCACAGAAAAGGAGGGCACTGAGTGGGAAGCGATCCCTGCTCTCAGCAGAGCTGGTGGAGTTTACTCCCCCCTTGCAACCAAAAGGAAGCTGGACTGACTCTAACCTTACAAGCTGACCTGCAGCAAAGTCCACTGGTGAGAACTGCAGGGGTATTCCCCCACGGTTTGATGAGCTGGCACAACTTGCCACACCGAAAGGAAACGTACGCAGGAATTTATAAACAGTTCTTCAACGCTTCGGTCTTACATGAACTTCCCCCCCACAGCTCAGTCATGGTGATGACCTGTTCAGTTACAGGATCCTGGAAACATCCCATGTTTTAGTCAACCGTCATTATCAAGCATTTTTTCAATACCTCTCAAAGCATCATACAGGCCTTCTCTAAGGTTAGAGGATTTTAGACATCAAAAGGAATTATACTGAAGCAAATAGGGCCAGAAGATATCAAACACCCCACAGCGAGATGCTCATACGGTGCAGGCTGTAAGCTGCATGTCACCAGAAGTAGTTATCTGTCCTACCAAGTTTATAAATGAAACTCAGCTGACAGCTTTTAGGAATTACTGCACTGCCAAAATAAGCTCCTGTAAGGGTGCTGTTTATCTACAGCTAAAAGCTGCTCCCCTTTGGTTTTCCTCAGTCACCTCACATCAGAATTCCCAAAGGGTCACCTTGCAGGAGACTGATTTGGTGACATACGGGGGAAAACAGATGGGACAAAGGTTCCTTTTCTGGTGCTGCAAGAAGCACAGCTTTGGTACGGCTCGCTCCTCCCCACCACGGCTACGAGCAGAGCCCAGACTCTTCCCTTCAGCCCGGTCACTGCTGCTCCAGGGACAGAGCTAGCAAGGTGGCCTGTCCTAGGCAAATACATGACACAGACTAATCCTGGGGCTAAAGAAAGGACCAGAGGTCACACTGGTGTTTTGTTCTTCAACTACACAGCTACATATCCCTTGGCAGTAGGACTGCTCCTTAGCCCTAGCTAATGTCCGGCTTAACGTGAACAAGAAAAACACAAAGTTCTCAAACACTGAAACACCATGTTGGAAAAAGGAAGACTTCATGCACACCTGTCACCAGCATGAACATCATCAGCATGGTGCCCAGTTTCAGTCCAAAACCAACAGTAAAGATTGCAAGCAAAAATGGACAATCCTGGAACTGCCACTAACCACAACGCCTGGAATTTAGCACTCGTCATGGTACGGCTGCACCTCCAACCTGCCCACATGCACCCTGGCCACCACTACGATCTATCACATGGTTCAAACCTAAGTGTCTGAGTGCTGCCAAACAGCACGTCCGATCACCCTTTCTTTCATTTGCTCTTGCTGAAAGTGACGGCAGAGCTCTTATTACCAGGACAGCCCATTTTTAAAATGGTGCTTAAAAGCTTAGAAATTGGATCATTATGCCTGCTCTGTTGACAGTACGGAGGCAGGGCAGGAGGGATGTCCACCATCAGGACAATCAATACCATTGCTGACAGAATTGCAGCTTCCTTGCTTCCAGAATGTCATCTTCCTGCTTATTTCTTCTAAGCCATGTTTATCTTCTGATTGCTGCAAGGTGAAGTGATACCTAGACATGTCATGCTAGAATAAATCTCCAATTTGTCCAACCTTTGTTATCGGTACAAAAAGTACCAGGAAATTCAAGAAAATTCCCAGGATTTACAAAGGGGGCAATTAAAACTTCACGCAGGATGAGTCTCTTCCTAGTCTTTTGGGTCATCAGTTTACCAAATAAGTATGAAACATAAATTTAAAAAAAAATTCTTCTTTTATTATTTGCATAAATATTGTGTCCATCTCTAACGTGAGCAACCTGTTTAGGTGGAAACCTAGTCACACATTTTAATAAGAGATTTCCATGAAAGAAGGAGCTTAGCTTTGGAAAGGAACTATTTTGAAATGGAATTTCAACAGTTACCAAAATTTACTAGCTACTTTTTCAAAACAGTGTTGCTTGCAACTCCACTGAACTGCTTACTGCTGTGCTTTACTGATTTAAGAGGATCTCTAGACAACCAGTGTAAAAACAAAATGTTCAGATTTATGCCTGTGATAACTGATATTTTAATGAAATCCCCTCAAATACTGTGCACTGATTTCACAGTACTCTATTCATCAGATCTGTCCCATATGTTGCAGCCCACAGATGGTCAACACAACAGTTTTGAATTCAGAACCAAACAAGGCACCACCATGAAACTCAGAAGAGGCCCATTATTTAAGAAGAAGCCAGAGGCATTATTTATAATATCGGTACTGTGCGAATGCAATGTTGTGCAGCCCTCCAGAACTGAACTACGTGCATAGAGGTTGCTGAATACGTGCACAGAGCTACCAAATACCCACTAGTCAGAAAGACAGAGTATTAAAAATACCTTATGACACAGAAGTGTGCAAGAAGATTTAGCATCAGTCTGGGCTTGAGGAGAATGAGAAGAAATCACGTGCACCCACTCACCTCAACAGCAGCATTTAGTTTCCTGACAGCTGCTGGATCTATGTGAAAGCCTCATGGATAGCAGAAAGCAGCTTTCAGGCAAGGAAAGTTACTTTACAAGACTTAACCTCTCCTACTACAGCAGGCGATTACAAAAGCGGGGTGTTGAGGAGTGCACTCTAGATGGACAAGGCTGCCCTCTACTGATATAAAATTCCAGTTCTGTCAGTCACTTACCACTGCAGGAGCGTTCACCACCGAGAGACTGTAACCGTACAGAAAAGATGACCCAAAAGCACCAGTTAAAGAGGCTAGGATAAGACTCCCAGACCATTTCTGTAAAACAAATAAAAGATGTGGCCATTGTTAGTATACTTCAAATTAACGTACCTCAGGTTTAAAGCACTTCTTACGCTATCTCGTACAGCTCCTGCAGGCAGATCTCCTTGCTGCAGAGTAGTGGCCTGAAATACTTCCACTTGCTGCAATCCAAGCAACAGTAAATTTGAAGTGACAGCATCTCAGTTTACATTTTCCAAGGCATAAGTGAACATCTGAACTTCTTTCAACCCCCCAGATTTTTGATGCAAGCATCCCATCAGCCCCCACACCAAAAAGTAAAACACTGGAGAAGCATCCTCTCGGCAGAGGAAACCGCTGGCACCATACCACGAACGCACCAAAGCAAGGAGCAGTGTGTATCTGATGAAACAGGTCTGTGGGTAGACCTGACTTAGGTGAAAGCCTGGGAGATGGTGTGCTCCCCACTCCCATGAGTATAAGGCTTAGGGAAACTGCAACCCAAAAAATAAAATTAAGTCTACAGACTAGGTTTTGTAGCCCAAATGTAAGTTTCCAACAGTAATTTGCTGACACACACACACACACACTCCATTGGAGATGCCATTTGCCCTTTTTCCCCAGCGACACACCAGCAACCTCCCCTGCTCGGCTCTCCTCCCTCTCCATCCCCCCATCCTGCTTTTAGCTGACCTCTGCTAACAATTTCTTCTTCCACATGAGCTGTTGAATAAAAGGTAAGACCGCTTTGATTTGAGAGGGTTTGCATTTCAGGGTCCTTCTCTATATTACTCTTCTCCATACTACTTTCTGCCATTCAGTTCTCCTGCTGGATTACAGAGAGTGGCAGAAGTGGCCGTGGCCATGCCCAAAAGTAGTCAGTGTTTCGGTGGCTGGTTGGTTGTGAAGGCTGTTTTGTAGACCACAAAGACCGCCCACCTTCCTTGACTTCTGAATACATTAAAGTGGATGGCTTTTCCACGTGTTCTGTTGTGGTTTTTTTTTAAACTCCACTAAGAATCTAGAATTTCAGGCACAGCTCACTGTCATTTCATTTCCAGTCTCATCACTCCCTGAAGTCTCAATCCTTTCAAAAGGAGAAAGACCTGCTTAAGGAGGCCTAATAAACTCAGCTTCAGTTATATCACTTACAGCAGACACAACAGGTTAATGAGCCAATACACTCTGTCAGCTGCAGAAAGCTCTATGTTCGCTTTGGAAAATGAAGATTTGGAATAACAACTAAGTTTGTGTAGCTAGCTCACAGCACAGCAGCAGTGATGATGGACAGGAACGAGCTCCACCAGCCTCAGGACAGGCACAGCAGGGCAAGCAAACACGCTGTGGTTGCTAGCGGGTGCCACAGCTCACGTTTCCACAGCCATCATGGACTCGCTTTGATCCGTGAGGAAGGGATGAGATGCTCCGGCGTCAGGGCAGGGACCGCAGTGTACAGCCCAGCATCCGTGGGGTCTGCCACGCTCCGTAGTTGCCACTCCTAAGGGCTCAAAACATGCCCTGTGGGACAGCCAAGCGTTTTTAACTTCTTCCACATGATGTGGGAACTTCGTAAGAGATTACACAGTTCATTAACCACCCTGGTTTTGGTCAGGTCAGGAGGAACGAATTGTGTGGCAGAAAAAGCCTCGTGTAAGAAATACATCCTGTTGACTTCACCACATAAGCCAAATTAAAATTTCTTATTATTAGCCAGCTTCTTAAAATGAACCTGCCACACACACACAAAGCTTTGCACCATTACTTTGGTAGCAAAAAGTAGGCATTTTGACTCAAGGCTCCATTTGGCTTCCGGTGACAACACCCCATATTAGGTGCCCATTATTTCTCTACTATGCACAAGTGTTCCTACACTTAGGAGGAATTGCTACAACTCTGAACTAATGAGCTGAGGAGAATATTCCTGGAAGTCTACCAGGCTGCTCCCAACGGGTTCACAAACGATAAGCATGAGTTCACAAGTGCTATGCGGTAATCTTGACGCAATACTGCTCAAGGGCTCTGCTCCAGCAACATTAGACCCATCAGAAAAATCCTGCTAACCAACTGATTTGGATTGTATAGCCTAGTGTTTATTAAAAACTCCAGCAAATGCTTAAACCTTTCAGCAGAAGCAAATTATATGCATATGGGTCTAAGTGGAAGATCATGGAGCACAAATCCCAGAAGGGGTGCCAAGTTAGAAAACCCCACATGCGCTTTATTTTGAAGTGCTGCAAACGGCTGGGTTTAGAGCCTACCTCAATATCAGGAATTTTTCAAGGGCCTGACCTGCTGCAGAAAACCTCGGACTTACTCAATTAAAAGTTTCACAGTTCTTGGAACACGGACTTCAGCTTCTCCATGACCTGCTGTCTCCTTACACACTATTTTAAATATTTGCTCAGGCTTTAGCAATGCCAGATAATAGATGAAAGCACAGTGAAGCAAGAACGCAAAAAAAAAAAAAAAAAAAAATCACACTGTTGCTCAGCAAAATATTAACCCTGTGGCAACCTTACTAAAAAGAAAGGAAAAACAAACGCACACCAATGTGTTTCACAGGGACTGGGAAACCAGGAGGCGACACGCCTCCTTCCTTGGTGCTCCCTGACGTGACCGCCACCCGTGCGCTCACGCGTCGCTGCGGTGAGCGCAAGGGCAGGGAGCTGTGACCGTGCCACCACCGCGGTAACGCGTGTGCAGCCAGGGAAGCTCCGCGCAGCCCGCAGCAGGGACCTCCCGATGCCTGAGAACTACTTACTCGTGAAACTCCGCGGCTTCGGTCTTACCGCGGATTCCCAGGGCACCGGGCCGTGAAAGATGCTTTTCCCAGCTCCCGTCCTCGTGTCAGCTACTACGAGCCTTAAAATGTCTTTTTGTAAATGCACTCCAGCTTGCGTTTCAGTTTACAGAACATAAAGAGTGCTGTGTTTTGGTTAGTTAGTTACCACCCGCTCCTCAGACCAAAACACAATCCTACAGCGTGCATAAGGCAGCTTTTACATTCTCCGCCTTGCCAGGACTTCCCGCTGACACCAGGGAGCCGGGTCTCGGAGCCCCC